GAAGCCTGATAATCATCTATTCATTCAAATCAGGTGTGTTGGAGCAGAGAAACAAGTAAAACATGCAGGGCTGCGGCCCTCCAGGACCAGGATTGCCCACCCCTGCTTTATACGTTTTGCAGCAGGGATAGCTGTCCTTCAAAATTAGAATTGTGGCTAAAACATGGAGATGTAAAACAGTAAAATGGGATTTACACTTTTAGAAAACCAGCTTTATTAAAACATAAACAGCAGCTTATACGTAGTTACTACTCAATGTATGATCATTTCATTACACACTGCTGCAATAAAGGTTGTTTTAACTAACCTGTAGTAGAATCCACTCTCATTCTGCAGGCTTTCCTCCACAGCACAGTAGATGGTGGTCTGTGCCCCCTCTGTTGGACTCTTAATAAAGAAACTGAATGGTTTGTACACAATTCTCTTCCACAGGGGTATGGTGGGCATGAAGTATCGGCCAAGCTCGGTCCGAATTACTCCAGGGTGGAGGCTATAAGTCGTTACTCCAGTGCCTGCAAAATGAGAAGATGCATAACAGGAGGATAACCCTACATTTACCACTCATTTCAGCTTTGTTTTAAGGTGAAACAAAGTAGGACACAACACCTCGCAGCCTGTGGGCCAGCTCCTTTGTAAAGAGGACATTGGCGAGTTTACTTTGAGCGTAGCTTTTCCAAGGGCGGTAACTTTTCTCTTGATTTATATCATCAAAGTAGATTTGACCTGAGGAAGAGAGGTCAGTAGTCACTAGCAGTAAATGAAGAATAAGGAAACATCAAGCCTTTTTATAGTAAAAGAAAGAGAGAGAAAAGCTTCACCTTTTTCATGTGCCAAACTGGAGACATTAACAATGCGGCTCGGAGTGGATTTCTTTAAAAGATCCAACAGACAGTTTGTCAGAAGAAAGTGACCCAGGTGGTTCACACCAAACTGCATCTCAAAGCCGTCTTCAGTCTTCCACTGTGGGCAGGCCATAATACCTAATGTAGAGAAAACCAGAAGAAATTTGAAWATGATCCATCACAGCAACACAGGTACAGTGATTTCTTTATCCACCTGCATTATTGATGAGAACATCCAGTCGCTGTTCATTTGCCAGGACATCTTCAGCAAGCTGGCGCACCGACTTCAAGGAYGACAGGTCCAACTTTTTGACAACCACATTGTCATTTCCGCTCCTCTTCCTCACTTCTTCTGCAGCGCTATCAGCTCTGTCCATGTCTCTGCAAGCCAAAATGATCCTCGCACCTGGAACACAGCGGCTAAATACTTAAACTATAAAATGATTTACTTCCTAGATAAAATGTATCTATACAATTTATCAACCTCTTCTGGCCAGGTCAACAGCGGTTTCCTTTCCAATCCCGGTGTTGGCGCCAGTAATCAGTATGGTCTTTCCATCTAAACCAGCTGTGCTGCGACACACACCACCAGCCATCCATTTCTTCAAGCCAAAAAGTCCCACACCTGCAAAAGCGTCCAGTTACCAAAACAAACTGTAATCTCTGTACAAAACTCTGTCAAATATTTTAACTAATTTCTAAAACTTTGGGTTAATTTACCATTTAAAAAGAGACATGATTATCATCCTGCATCAGCCAGAGATTCAAGTAAATCCATCTAGAATCTTTGTGCAACAGGAATGTAGGTAAATAGGCTTTTACTGTTTACTATATACAGTATTATATATTTAATTACTTCATTTAGAAACCAAACGTCGTGTTTATTTATTGTTTTTTACAAAAGTTATAACAACAGTTTATAAAACAAGGTTTAAAAGTTTGAAACTTAGCTTTGAATGCTAACTAGTAAACTAATAATCACACTATCAAAACAACAAAACAAATGCGACAAACAGTGCATGTAAATACTTATTCAAAAACTTTAAAAGCATACATTCTTATCTTAAACTGATCATTATACAGTAATTAAACATCTGATGGTAATTTTGGTTAGAAAACACAAACCTGAGTTTATCAAAGAGGTGCACTAACTTTAGCTACTAAGTAGCTATCTTTAAAAAAATCTTACCTCGGTAACTGTATGTACATTACCTGTCAGTGTGACCGCAGTGATAGTTTTAGGATATTGTAAAATAAATGTTCTTGTAATAGTCATTGTTGAATTGCCGCAAGTTGTTTACAAACAGAAAAATCSAGTTCCGCTGTCCAAACAGGAAGTCCCGCCCACCTACTAATATCAGCGAAATTTGATTGGTTGTTCATTCCAACTATCCTATATCCTTTATCTGATTGCATTTACAGTTTAAAAAACGAGAGGTTCTGATATTTCTGAGAATAAATAACCTTCATTTATTTATGTAATAYATTTATTTTGAATAGAAGATATAAACATATCATTTGAAGCAAATCAAATAGATGTAAACATTTGATGTTGATATATTAAAACTTAGCTTTGAATGCTAACTCTTGTAAACTAATAATCACAGATAAATGCAGATTAACATGTGGAAAAAATATTGAAAAAATATCTTTATATAAATCTTTATATCAATTTAATGTTTTAATTTATTAGCTTTTAATTTTCACCCTAATTTTTTAAATAACCCGTCAGAATTGCAGTTGTCCAAACTGTATTTATAAATTACACGTTTTAAGATTTCTAAAATCGATTGCTATAGGCTAAACCTGTGTGTTTAAGTAAAAAAAAAAGTACAGCAATAATAATGTTGACTTTTCATTTTTCAATGCTGTTTCTATTCGTAGTAGTTGTTTGTTTGTTTGTTTGTTTGTTTGTTTGTTTGTTTTTTGTTCAATGTTCATATACATATAAACTAAAAATAATCACCTCAGATCATTTTAGGTACAAGGTCAAGACTTTCCAGAATGTTACAGAAAAATCTACTTTAAAAAACGTCCCAGCAGGGGTCGCTGCAGGCCCAACAACATGTTGTCTGTTTGTTTTCATTTGGTTCCAGTTGGGGGCGCACATGTTTTACAGCCTAACTTTGCCCTCTGCTTTAAACTTTTAAAGTAGCTTATAGCTTTTAGTGGCTTATAAAGTTAAGAATTTTTGATTTTATACCTAAAAATGGTGCCTAATCATACTCTTCCAAACCAAATTAAACATGTCTGTGCTATTTTAAAGTCAGAAGAGTAGAAACCCACTGCAAGATGAACTTAATAATAGCCTCCCAGAAGTCTTCACCTTCAAATCTAAACCAAAGTGCGAAGAAAGCAGAATCTGACTCTAAATAAAAGATTTAGTTTCTTGTGTCTTATTGAGAGTAAAATATCTGCAGTGTGTCAGATGAATAAGTCATGACCTTTGAATATTTTGTTGTTGTATTTTGACATTATGAGCTTGGATGAGGACTATATGGAAGATATGACCTTGAGCCTGTTTCTATGACTTCAGAGGGAATTTATGGACACATTAACATAATAGGACTTGAAGGATTGCTGTGCACAAGAGGGGATTATGCAACTGTTGCTAACCCCTACCTGACCAACACTTTAGCACATTTAAAACTGAATATTTCAAAGGCAAAAACCCCACCCTCTATAAAATTTTACAAACAAGGTGTTGATTTTAACAATGTTCAAACCGTTTTTTTTTTCAGTGAACTTAATTCAGAGGTGACCTGCCTGCTAGCTCACCACCATCTTTGTCATGTGACTGCTCAGCTCACTTCACTGAGTCTCTCCCAGTATGGTAAGCTTCCTCTGCTAAAATTAGAGGGCCCTCTGCTGAGACTATGTCATATGGGACTTTTCCAGCAGTCATTGTGCAGATAATTCAGGAGCTCAGTAAATTCCTCAATGTCTCTGTGTCAATTCATATGAATTTCCTGACTTGTTTCTTTATTTGAGTCAAATGTGGTGCATGAAATGAAAAGGATACACTGATGCAAGTGGCCTTGAATTCACAAAAGGATTTTTAATGAGTCTAAGAGTCAATGGAGTGAAATAAAAATATAAACTTGAGTACAGCATCCATAAAACATTTGTGCAAAGTGTGCAGTCAAGTTTTTTAAAGGTAAGCCATTCTGATAGCTGTTCTTTTTAAAATCTCATATCAAATAAAAGGCTAAGTGAACATTTAAATAAAAAATTCCACTGAAGGAGCTTGCAGTGTTACAACTCTTTACCTCAAACCAATCTAATCTGCATTTATCAAAAGGTAAATTAACTTGGACGACCAAGTTATTCAGTCAGAGTCAGAGTCAAAGTTGATTTATTGTCTAATCTGCACAATGTACATACACAGGATTGAAATTATGATATTCTCTCAGACCCCTGGTGCAATAAACCTAAAAAAAAATCAAAAGTAGACAGTTGGTGAAATATTAAGCTTAAAAATAGAGTTATGTGGCTTAACTAATTAGAAATAGAAAYGTAACCTGATAAAGTGTGTGCATAAAAGTTCCTGGTATTTGCATCAGAATTAAAGTGTATGCAGTGATATATTTACAGTGTATGTATGTGAAATATGTACGAAGTGATTTTGACATAAATGTTCAGTGAAATAGACAGTCATATATCAATGATGTTATATTATGATATTGTTTTATTTGTGACACAATGGACAACACTAAGCTTGTTCTCTTTGCTCTTTACAAATTTCAAAACATGCTGAAACAGAGTGAGACAACGTCAAATTGGCCCCAGCAGCCTGACTTGAATAGAATTCCAGGTTCAGGCTGTGAGTGGGCCATAACGGCAAATGCAAATATGCCCGACAAGGGTTTGAACAAAGGCTGGGCCAGACTGGGTCAGGTCTTATAATGCAAAGATGCCATTACATTGGTTGGAAACTCTAAATTGTTCCTATGTGGGAGAGAGTGTGAATGGTTGCTTGTTTGTGTGACCCTGTGATGCACTTGTGACCAGGGTCTACCCCACCTCTCACACCATGACTGCTAAAGATAGGCACCAGCTCCTTCGTGACCCAGGAAGAAGATTAAAAAGTAATGTGTTTTGGGGTTTGAAAGTCACTGGGGAAACAAAACAGCCACTGTTCAAGAGAATGAGCCAGCACAGACGAGCTACATCATCAGGCCAGGACTCTGCAGCTTACACTCGTCTGCAGGCCAGAACTCTGTAGTTTACACTCATCTGCAGGCCAGGACTCTGTAGTTTACACTCATCTACAGGCCAGGACTCTGCAGTTTACACTCATCTGCAGGCCAGGACTCTGTAGTTTACACTCATCTGCAGGCCAGGACTCTGTAGTTTACACTCATCTACAGGCCAGCAGTCACTCTTTCAGGGATGAAGATGTTCTCATCCTTGATAGAGAGGAAAGTTGGTTTGAGAGAGGAGTAAAAGAAGCCATCTTTGTGGAAAAAAAACCATCCACCATTAAACAGAGGTGGAGGCCTTCATGTCCAGTTGTCCCCCTCATAAAATTCTGTTATTGCAAGTATGACTCAGCCACCTGTGAGCAAAAGGTGTGAATCAGGGCCCCACTGATAGTCAGGTGATGGGGCACATGGCCCTCCATGAACAATATAGCTAATCAAGCCTATTATTGGGAGATGGCCCTCTTTTGCATGTGACCAACCTGATTGTCCACCATGTGGAGGCAGCGCTTATAAGGCTGAGTTCACCTGAGACTCCTCAGACTGAAGAAGTCTCTTGGAGGAGTGATGAAACGTTTCATTAGAGAAGAACCCATCCAGAGGACCTATTCATTTTTTTCTTTTTGATAGAAGGTAAATTGACTAGTAACTTTCTGTAAAAATAGATAAATCACTGGTGTGAACAGCATAACAGTTTCATGTTAATTTTACTAAAAAGAAGGATAAAAAGAGAATACTGAAGGGGGCCAAGTTTAGAACCCTGTTGAACACCATGAAGAGTTTTGGAACATGTGGAGTAAACCATGTACAAACTGCAAGCTGTCAGCCATACTCATACACTGATTGCTTTTTATTGACAGAAAAAAAAAGGTTTCCTTAAGAAGTCACTGCTGTTCCCTTGGTATTTCACACAGGTCAAACAGAGGCAGCTCTGTTTGTGTGCTCCCACACAACAAACTAGAATGATTTGAGTGACAACAGTGCTGTTTGTGATCTGCTGGTAATGTCAGCTCACATGTCATGCACACGCTCTAATCTCTGTAACTTCCTCTGTTGCCAGCTCCATGGTGTGTCAGTAATAAATTAACTTTGCTGAAAAATCATTGTTGCTAAGCTCTGAAGGAATGCTGTCTCCAACTAACCAACACAAAACAAAGACTAATGCTTTCCTTTAATAAAAGTGAATGAAATACTGAATGAATAGAATACTCTCAGCAGACTAACATTCTTTGGATGTAACTCAGTTGTATTTTCTTTCTAACCTCTCAGGTTTTTGTAATAAGTTATGCTGTTACTTTTTACACAAATCAAGGGATGCTTTACTGTGATAAAATCTTGTTTTAATTGAGGCAGCCAATAATACACAGTTTGTGTAATGTCTTATATTGTTTTATGTCAAGCTCCAGTTATCATTAGCTTTATTGAACTTTATATTGCTGCATGTTAACATGTTTTTAATCATTATTTAATGATTATCAGCTTAAATATTATCAGATGACATATATGAACAATAATATTTAATCTTAAAAGATCAAGTTATAGATATTCAGGTATATGGTGCACAAGAATTGTGAGAAATTATCCACTGAAAATAACCTAAAATCACAAACCTGCAATATGGTCAGCACTACTTGGACTATGGTTATTGTCGAACTGAGATGGAGCTCTTTGAAGACTGAATATGTAATTTTGTAAATGTCATCAGCAGAGTTTTGGCTTGAAAGAAAGGAATAAAAGCCCGAGTTCAAAAGATGTCAAAGGATCCAAAGAAACAAGAGCTGATGCTTGAAATCTCTGGTGAATATTCTTACAGATGAAACACAGAATCACTGGACTTTTGTATTCTGCATTGGACAGACCGTGGCTCTCCTTTTCTCTTTTGAGTTTTTACGATTAGTTTGCATTGTTTATGGTTCGTGTGGGGCTTCATTTTGTGTCTCTGACATATTAAATCTCACTTTGTTTTGATGAAGTGAGATAAGAGGGGAGCATTATTTATGACATGTCTAATTATCTGTCTCATTGTGTTTGTTTCGCAGTCGGCCCTAAAATTCCTTTAAGGTCTTTTGACATTTTTCTTTATCATTTGTAAGGGTGTCAAGCTCCGGTAAAAAACAGAGGAAGTCATCTGACAACTTGG